TTACTTAGTGGGAAGTCGTATTCTAAGATGGGCTAGAGGATTTTGCCAATAGAGGGCTTCGTGTGAAAACTAGTTATTTTTCATACCACTTGGTGCGCTGTATTCCCATTCACAAAATGATGACGTAGACATATTACTGTTAAGCTGAAAATAGCGGTAAACTTGATATGACAGCAATGAAGGTCGCTATTTAAATTTATTATGTTTACGTGTTTGAATAATACATATTATAACTTTAAAGCTGTCAAAATGTTTCCAAGATCTTTAAAAGAAAATGAATGCTTTGGTCATATGAGGTAGAAACATCATCATTTAAATTGTTCTTTTTACAGGTGTTTCATTCCATGTGAGCCTTCATGTAATGTCCAGGATTGTATATTATGAAGGCATGGCTTATTTTTCTAAGGTTACCCATATTCTCTTTGAATAGGTAAATGAATATGCTTTAAAGAAAAAAAAATCAATAATTTTTTAGCCATTATACATAAATATTTCTTTTGACTTAATTTTTTCTCCTTTTCATTATGTCTCAAAGAACATTGCACTGTTTTTTGTGATAGGTGTTATAAATTAAACCTCAAATATCTGTATAATGAAAAAATTGAATTTTATATAACCACCTTTAAATGTACTGACACTTTTTAAAATGCATTGATATATATGTAGTTGTTATTAAAAAAGGTTACCTTCCTTATTTATGTTTAAAAAAAAACATTATTCTCAATACTTTTCTTTCTCTACATTTTCTTTTTTTTTCATACACGTATAGGTTTGGTGGCATTTAGTTAGTACAATTGTTTTCTATCCCAAATTGCAATAAATAGATTAATTTGAATTAAATTCCACTTGCTTCTGATTTTAATTTTTTCTCTGTCAGTGATATAAAAAGACCTGAGAATATTATATGTGTCAGAGTTTGCATTAGATGAGGACATATGTACTATGCTGTCTTGGTAAGTATTCAATCCATTATATGGGACTCTTAGATTTAAATTTTGTATTTGAGTTGTTTTTACTAAATTAAATGTAGGCAGTTAATTATCTCTTCAATAACTGTAACTCTGCTATAAGATATGCTTGACATAAGGCAGTAACAAATCTATATAATTTTTAATTATCCTGTTTTAATAAAAAAAATCGCTACATTTATTTGTATATTAAAACAAGTTAAAAGACATAATTTGGAGAATTTTAGTACTCTGTATTAGATCTGACATTTGACTTATTCTCCACCCAACACCAATTTTTGTATTTTGTGAAACATGAAGACATATTGAACTGACTAGGGCTTATTATTTTTTTAGTTGTGTCTATTGTACTTAGTATTGTGGAAGAAAGGAGGGTAAATTCACCTATGTCAATTCCCTTTGAGAGACTGGCCAAGAATAGAACATTATCACAAGAAACTGGGGGTAGTTGAATATTAAAAAAGTCTCGTCATGTAAAAAAAAAATTATATATATATATATTAATAAAAGGTTTACGGGGGCGGATCCAGAGATATTTTCTGAGTCTTTCAAATAATCTTTGTCAATCCATCTTTTATTTTTTGGACCGTCTTCCAACAGAAAAAATTAGATACCCACCAATTATGTAAGCTGAAGACGGTCTAAATCTTTAATCTGCCCCTGTGTTTATATAAATTATGTTAATTATATGTGCAAGATGCAGACAATTCAATATTATGATTGGGTTGAAAGGTATAATTTTTCTCATAATATATTTTCAGCAACTTCTTCAGGAGTAAAAAAAATCGGGTGCCAGTTTGTCACCATTGGNTATTCTCAATACTTTTCTTTCTCTACATTTTCTTTTTTTTTCATACACGTATAGGTTTGGTGGCATTTAGTTAGTACAATTGTTTTCTATCCCAAATTGCAATAAATAGATTAATTTGAATTAAATTCCACTTGCTTCTGATTTTCATTTTTTCTCTGTCAGTGATATAAAAAGACCTGAGAATATTATATGTGTCAGAGTTTGCATTAGATGAGGACATGTACTGTGCTGTCTTGGTAAGTATTCAATCCATTATATGGGACTCTTAGATTTAAATTTTGTATTTGAATTGATTTTACTAAATTAAATGTAGGCAGTTAATTATCTCTTCAATGACTGTAACTCTGCTATAAGATATGCTTGACATAAGGCAGTAACAAATCTATATAATTTTTAATTATCCTGTTTTAATAAAAAAAATCGCTACATTTATTTGTATATTAAAACAAGTTAAAAGACATAATTTGGAGAATTTTAGTACTCTGTATTAGATCTGACATTTGACTTATTCTCCACCCAACACCAATTTTTGTATTTTGTGAAACATGAAGACATATTGAACTGACTAGGGCTTATTATTTTTTTAGTTGTGTCTATTGTACTTAGTATTGTGGAAGAAAGGAGGGTAGATTCACCTATGTCAATTCCCTTTGAGAGACTGGCCAAGAATAGAACATTATCACAAGAAACTGGGGGTAGTTGAATATTAAAAAAGTCTCGTCATGTAAAAAAAAAAAAAATTATATATATATATATATATATATATTAATAAAAGGTTTACGGGGGCGGATCCAGAGATATTTTCTGAGTCTTCCAATCCATCTTTTATTTTTTGGACCGTCTTCCAACAGAAAAAATTAGATACCCACCAATTATGTAAGCTGAAGACGGTCTAAATCTTTAATCTGCCCCTGTGTTTATATAAATTATGTTAATTATATGTGCAAGATGCAGACAATTCAATATTATGATTTGGTTGAAAGGTATAATTTTTCTCGTAATATATTTTCAGCAACTTCTTCAGGAGTAAATAATCGGGTGCCAGTTTGTCACCATTGGCCATGAAAAACAACTACATGTAGATGGCTACACTTGTCGGCTGAGGTGTATACATGTGAGTTATGTTACCTAGGAAGCACACATTTCAGTATAAGTTCTAAACTTGTACACCTCTAAAGAGTCCCCAAGAGAAACATTTGTAGGCCAATGAAAATAATTTTTATACTTTATTACTTAGATCCCGAGCAAGGGTTAAACATTATTCAATATGACCAGACCATGTACATAAACACAGAGCAAAAGTATACACACCCAATGTGAATTTATTAACATTTTACGAACAGCACAGACAGTTACCCATAAATTATTGAACAACAAAATTAACTTTGTATATAGACATATTTGTATATAAACATTAAACCATTGTGTAGGGATTTTCCTTTTTTCCTGGGATATCAATAGAAATTTTGTTATCATTATTCATTTTTATTCAGGCAGTGGAGCACCTGTTGGTATATGGATTGGGCAAAACACCAAAGATCTGCCAGCCAGACTTTTTAATAGGCTAAATGTGGCCATTCTGGTTTTAAGAAATATTGGTATGAATATGGAATTTATTTTTGTTAAAAAATGATAATGATAATTATGATATTTATGTATAAGTAAGAGTTGGATATTAGATTTAAAATACAAAAAAAAAATGTAATTCTAGCTTGTATAATTTCTAACGTAATGTGTATTCATATTTATTTTCAAGACATGCATTAACATTTAAATTTATGAATTTAATTCATTTGATTGCTTTAAAGTTTACTATGCCCAGAAAAAGCCTTAAAGGATCTTACAGTTTTTGACACTTAAAATTCCTGGATTCTTGTAGCTTCCAAAATAGATGGGGTCATGTTTTCCCACCTGTCTGTCTGGAACTGTCACTGTGTTGTCCCTTTGGTTTGATGTTTAATGCTAATAACTAATAGTATCTTTTTCTTGATTTTCAGATGCTGCAGATAAAAAGCACTTCAAAATAATACCATTTGGGCATAAGAGCAGGTTAATTTTGTCATAATGCAACACTTGTGACAGTTTTTTTTAATTATACAAGTGCAAAGGGGAATCTTATGTGGCCCAGTGATTATAACTGTGACATGTCTCTATTTAAAACAAACGATAATGGATCCAGTATAATTCTGGAATGGGCCACTACTACCAAATCCAGGAAATAATGTTACTATTATATACTGCCAAATACTCACATCAAATATTATATATAAAGAATATTGGATCAAACTTTTGCTTTAACTGTGGGGGTTCCATTACATTAATATATTATTTTTTAAATTTTTTATTACTATTACTATTTCTATAAGGTGCAGATGGGATGCTGTTGGTATTTCTTTGAAAATGGTGTCTGGGTGATGGACTTGTTAAAGTCATGTGCACTGGCATCTGAATTAAGGGTATAATACTGTACTGTATTTATGTCCTTCTTTTTATATATATATCTGAATGAAACACTGCAAGTGAAGTAAATGGGCCAGTCAATCTTAAGTTATGCCAGAGCCCTCTAAGTTTATTTTATGAAAAAAATTGATATACTGGAATACAGTTATTTAAAATAAAATTAAATTTGGATGGTTCACAACACTTTTTCCACTTCCAACCCAAGGTCTCTATTACCTGCAGTAAACACACCTTATGCAGTTTATCTAACAGAAATCAATATATGTGCAACAGTAACTTAAAATGATTAACCTACTGATTGTTGTAAAATATTAATTAAAAGATGAGGCTCTCCTCTTATCTTATTTTAAATGATGTACTGTGTATTATTAAAGACAAGTGTGAATGAATTTTATTTTAAGAAAAGATCACATTAGATGATAAAATGTTGAACAAATATTTATTGATTTTGTTTATTTACACGAAAAAGTACTCTAACCAAGAGAACAAATAAGTTTGGATTTCCCTCAACTCTTAAGAGATTATCAGAGGTTAGTCATCTGTGAAGGTCACATGGTTAAGTGGCAAGCACAGATTCCAGAATAATTGCAAGAACCACCATTTTAGTGGTAAAATAGAATTTATATTTCTCTGAGTTGTTTACAATGTATTCAATGTGAAATATGAATCTCCTATATAAATGTGTGTGTGTGTAAATAAGTATGTATGTATGTAATATATTCCATAATTGAGATTTATTTAAACTCCCTTTTATCAACTGCATCTTTTTCTTTATTTCTTTTTTTTTCAAACCACTTTTTTTCTGTGGGTAACATGGTAATGCTAAAAGTACTATAAGTTTTATGAGAATAANCCCAAGGTCTCTATTACCTGCAGTAAACACACCTTATGCAGTTTATCTAAGAGAAATCAATATATGTGCAACAGTAACTTAAAATGATTAACCTACTGATTGTTGTAAAATATTAATTAAAAGATGAGGCTCTCCTCTTATCTTATTTTAAATGATGTACTGTGTATTATTAAAGACAAGTGTGAATGAATTTTATTTTAAGAAAAGATCACATTAGATGATAAAATGTTGAACAAATATTTATTGATTTTGTTTATTTACACGAAAAAGTACTCTAACCAAGAGAACAAATAAGTTTGGATTTCCCTCAACTCTTAAGAGATTATCAGAGGTTAGTCATCTGTGAAGGTCACATGGTTAAGTGGCAAGCACAGATTCCAGAATAATTGCAAGAACCACCATTTTAGTGGTAAAATAGAATTTATATTTCTCTGAGTTGTTTACAATGTATTCAATGTGAAATATGAATCTCCTATATAAATGTGTGTGTGTGTAAATAAGTATGTATGTATGTAATATATTCCATAATTGAGATTTATTTAAACTCCCTTTTATCAACTGCATCTTTTTCTTTATTTCTTTTTTTTTCAAACCACTTTTTTTCTGTGGGTA